ACATACACATACACATACATACATTCTTTCTTCAGGCCGCCGCAAGTGAGTCTTGCGTTGCGAGGGCGATGCTCGGCATCGGCATCACAAGATGCAAGCATACATACATACATACATACATACATACATACACACATACATGTATATATGTAAATATGCCTACTACTCGTACGTACACGTACATAAGTACATATACACACGAACAAACACACACACACACACACCCACACATTTAATGTGGTATGTACATATGATATGTGTATCACTCTTGACACGGTGTCCCCAATGGAGGCACTCCAGGGGCACGCCAGCGGAGTCGGCCAAAGGCGCGCAGGAGCTTCAGGGCCGAGGAAGCCTCGAGCCTTTGAGACAAAAAAGGGGGTTCTGTTCGGGTTCTACCCGGTGTCTTATGGGGCTTAGCAGAATTTACAAAAAGGGTTTATCGGGTTTCATGAGGGTTGATAAGGGGTGGTTTCTTTAAAAATTGGGTTGTTGTATCTTACTGCACTTGAGTATCAACGGTTGTCACCGGGCTTTGATGGCACTATGGTCGACTAAGTATTACTCTGCTGCCTGTTGCCTTGTTCCCCTTCTCTTGTCTGCTGGTAATGCTGGAGCATGTGGCTCGAGGGGGATTTCTTCCCGAACCATCTCAGGCTTTGAGTCCAGAAGCGGCTCCTGGTTTAGCCGTTCGGCGAGCACGTTCTCGAGGGTCGCAGTGAGATGCTGCGGAAACATATTCCTTGGCCAACTAAGTGGGCAACGGAAGGGATTACAGGCTGCTCCTGCTCCTGCTCCTCCTCCTCCTCCTCCTGCTGCTGAGCCCACCACTGCCAACAACCGCTTCGACACTTCCACGCAAGCCACCGCAGACCAGTCGATCAGTAGATCTAAAGACAAAAAGTACCCCACAAGCCTAAACCCTTTGCCCAGGCTCAGGGCTCCCAAGTGCGAGCAAAGCTGGGCCAACGAAGACGTGGGCAGCTCCGGCATTCCTGGAGCTTCGTAGCTGCTCCCTTCTCTTGTGTCTTGAGGGCTTTGCTTTCTAGGAGCACCTTTGGGGCTGAGGGAACTCCTTGCCGGGGGGCTGGGTTCCAACTGGTTCGAGAAGGCCCGGGTCATCATGTGCAGCCGGCCACCGAGCGAGCCGGCAGCGCCGATGAGGTCGATCAGGTCTTGCGGGCTCAGGTCATGCATGCCGCGGTCCTGATCTTAGCAGGAACCGGTTCAGCAGATATTTCTTTAACGCTGGCAAAGGACAGGGCCTGACATCTTCTCTTCTCAAAGACGTGAATGGCCCCCCTGTCTTCAGCGCTCGCTCACTCGCTCTCTCACTCTGTCTCTCTGTCTCTCTCTTTGTCTCCCTTCTCTCGAACAGACCCGTCGGGTGGTCTGTGATGATCTGAATCCGACCATTCTTGATCCTGAAATTCTAAACCCCACACACTAAGCCCTAAACCCAACAACCAAAACCTCAGCCTTAAGCCCTGAATCCTCAACCTCTCCACAAGACGCCCTGGACTCCCGGCTTTGATCCAGGGAGCCCTCCCACGGCTTTCCGGCAAGCCAACCCGACGGCCGACGGCAGCAGCGAGCCTCGGAAAAAGGACAGGGGCCCTGGTGATTGCAATAGGGCTTTGTGGCATATGGCATAGTGTTGTAGAGTTATGGAAGAACTTCACGTGGATACTATTACTAAGTGTTGAAACCCCTAACATTAAACTTCACATCAAGCCCACATGAACCCCTTCAAGGCCCCCGAATCTGCCTGGGCCCAGGAAGCAAAAGATCGGAACCGATCAAGCCGTGTAAAATCCAAAGCTCGAAATACCCTGATCGCTGCCATATAGCTCCTGAGCGAGTAAGCTTCCTGGGTTGAATTTTCTGCAATTCTATACTATAGAAGCACACTCCTATAAGTGCTGACGCTACCTTATTGTCCTCAACCTCCTGAGCATCGCACCCGAATCCCTCGGACTCAACTCGAAAGACGCCAGAACACCAACTCTTGTGCTAGACTTGCGGAACCTGTGATCCTGGTCGGACTTACGTCAGGACACATGTAGCACAGGGCGGGATACGGCTGACATCAGCTTACTAAAGCAAGAGTCGCCCTGCTCTCCACCCCCTTTTTTTCTGAGTATCCACGTACTTGCCGAGTCCAATCTCGTCAGGTACGTTGACCATACTACAGGGGGCTTAGCAAGTAGAACGGGTTATACACTCTTCAACTTCAATGAAGGAAACCTCCGGAATAATGTTGGTAGTTAATCAGGATTCTACGTCACGACAGAACATCCCTGAATTGAGCCTCAAAGCACCACCCCTCCGCAAGCCTTGGCTGGGGCTCTCCGAGGTGTGCGGCATCTTTGGCCAATGCAACTACCTTGGCTTGCGAGGTTGGGCATCAAAACCAGGATAAATCATCACAACCTGGAAGAGCCATAAGACAGAGCAGCAGCAGCGGCAGCAGCAGCAGCAGAAGCAGCATCACCATCACCAGACTACCACCACTACCACTGTGCCGCCCCACTACCACCACCACCACCACCACCACCACCACCGCGCCGCC